GCTGGCTCCTGGTAACGTGCCACAGAGTGTATCAGTCAACTTTGCCAAAACCCTTGCATCGTTTCCTCTGCTGTTGACAAGCAAATATTTAGCAATATGAAAAGAAAAAGCCCTTCATTAGATACTAAAGAAAGTGCCTGCTGAGCTCAGATATCACTATTTCGCGCCAAGTCTTCTTGTGCAGCGAATCTATGACTCGTTTTAACTCACACCGCAAGGAAGTCACTCGACTTCTCTGGATTTGTCATTTATAAAACATGAGACGTGGGTTATAGATATGATTCCTAAGGCCTCTCTTGTGTTCAGCACTTTATGCTTCTAGGAATACACCTGAGTTAGTAGAGAGGGGGAAGAGAGGCCATGAATCCTACAAAGCCCACTTGTGGCTATATTTAAAAAAATGAAAATTAGTGCGCATTCACAGCACAAGGAGATGTTGTAGGAATTGTAGCTATTGAAAAGCAAATTGGATGGAGCCAGAAATAGTTAATGCATCCACAGCTAATGCAGAGAAACCGCAATGAAGTGTTTCCTTGGCAATTGAGTTATTTAAAGATAAAGGAACTTATTTTGATCAAAGGCCGGTTTCTGTGCATCTCATTTTCTCTATGGGTTCTCCAGGTGTCTTTCAGTGGGAAGGCACAAATCCATTTCACTAAGAGACAAAGGTCATCCAAAAATATCAAGAAAAGGGCAATCCGACTGGATCCAAACAAGTAGATACTTTAATGGGAGAGGCTGGCTCAGGCCCTGAACCCTTGAGGGGCCTGCACAGGCCTAGGCTAACTCCCATCTTAAACTGACTTCTGCGGATCCCTCAAGCTCTTTAGTCATTTGGAACAAGCAGCGTCAAAATTTACAGGAACCTGACATCTGTCAGTCTGAATGCAAAACCTTGGATTTCAAACCAGTCAGCTCCTTCTAGAGAAGGAAAGAGGACAATAGCTGCTATTTCTTAGCATGCATAATCAATGCTGCAGGGGTTGCTAGGCAACGGGCAGGAAGACTGTCAAACATCCCTGGGTGCCTCCAATGGAAGAGGAGCACCCCGGCAGCCACTCCTCAGAGGTGACAGGCTAGGGAGGCCCTGGAGGCCACGTTCAGCTCCTTTTTTAAAAAATTCCTTTATTGTGGTCAGGAAGGCACCATAGACATTTTCCTCCCAGACTTATCAGATAGTCTTTGAATACACATACAATTGGCCCACATGCCTAAAAATGAGCAGGTCAGGCTGGCAAGAGGCAGCTCCACGAAATGTCCATGTGTTATTCTGATCCCATTCATCCCAGGGCCCAAGAAAAACCGGACTTGTTTCTTGCGTGGCTGTAGCCTCTGGATCTCAGACAGTTAAAATGGGCCCCCACCTCGCCGAAGCTTGAAATCATTGTGGCAGAGGTAAGCAAAGCCTCTGATTTCCACAAAAGGCCACATTGGAGGTCAGGGAGATAAAATTTCTTTGGTGTGCGACCTTGAAGTTGAAATGACTTTTTAAGCTGTAGGTATTTTGTTCTCACTACTTGAGACAAAGGGACAAATTTTCTTTGTTTTCTTTTTCAGCAGTTTTGATTAAAGAGCAAACACTCATCGTGGGTTGTTAATCTGCAAACAATTATTTGTCAAAGCTAGGAGGTTCATGGGGACTGGGGCCTGGGTCTGGGTTGAACATGGGGTGAGGATTTAAAGAAGCCTCACCAACAGTAGTGAGGGGAAGCATGCTGTGGGCAGGACCACTGGCTGAACATCGCTGACACCTGCTAATCCTTCGTCTTTACTAGATTGAGCTCTGAAATCCTGTTTAGCATGCGTTTGGAAGGAAAAGTGGTGTCTGAGTTAAAGGTGCCTTGGGTTTAGCTGTGTAGCACTGGCTCCGTAAGCACACTGCAAGAAGCACAGAGGAGCGAGCACAGAATCAGAAATAACAGGAACGTGACAGGCGATACCCGCTGAGAAATTTTGAGTCTATTTCTATCAAGCTGAGGGCTTCCCACGTGGCACTAATGGTAAAGAGCCCACCTGCCAATGCAGGAGGCATAAGAGATGTGGGTTCGATTCCTGGGTCAGGAAGATCCCCTGGAGGAGGGCATGGCAACCCACTCCAGTATTCTCCCTAGAGAATCCCATGGACAGAGGAGCCTGGCAGGCTACAGTCTGTGGGATCGCAAAGAGTCGGACACGACTGAAGCAGCTGGGCACACACTACCACACTGAGGCCTCTCAGCTATCCCTACACTATCCTCTAGGCTTCCCTCATCTCCTATGATTTTCTCACATTCAAAGATTCCACCTTGTGACCTCACGAAGTGAACAGATCCCTGGATGGCCTCCAAACATCGTGGGAAACATGGCCCAGACCTTGGCCCCAGGGTCCCCACTGTCCTTGTCTATGACACATGCAAGATTGGGGTTACATGTTCCCAGAATGTCTTGCAGCTCTATCCTTGTGTCAGGCTCTGAATCTCCAAAAATAGAGGCACCTTTTGGTCCCATTTTTCCAAAGGGGGGAAAAAAAAGATAACAGCAGAAGAAAGCGAAGACTGCAGATATAACACTGCCAAATGTTCTGAACATTTTGTGCTTTAAAAAACTAACAAACTTTTTGAGTAAATGAAAGAAAAGAGGAAGCCATGTCAGCAGCAGGAATTAAACATCCTCAGGGTCCCAGGATTCTCCTTTTACCCCGCTCACCCCGCCTGACCTTGATTCTCTCCCGCATCTCCCTTCCCCTCTTCTCTGTCTCACGACCCCCTCCCTTTGCCAATCTTAGCAAGATGATGTTTATTTCATAGATATTACATTTCTCATCCCTAGAAAGGCCTGTCCTTTATTCACCCCCAAAGTATAGCTTTTTAGGAGCCTTTCCTGAGAGTTTAAGTGTATCTGAGAAACTCGGCTTAGTTACTTTTGATGGCAAGGAAAGCAGTGCATGGTGTTTCATTAGGATGAACTGTAACAGAAACTGTGTTTAGTCTGCAGGTTTGGAAAGTTCAAGAATCATTTTATTTCTCTCCTCGGTTACCCATTACACATATTCTGAAGTATTTTAAGGCTAAGTACAACAGTAATGGAATACATATCTCTTTTAAAAAATGAAACGTTCCTCAGTACCATTTTTCTAGATTCCCTAATATATGCATCAGTATACAATATTTTTCTCTTTTAGACTTATTTCACTCTGTATAATAGGATGAAATGAGGTTCATCCACCTCAGTTCAATTTGCAGGGCAGGTATAGAGAAAAGACATAGAAAACAGACTTGTGGACACTATGAGGGAAGGAGAGGGTGAGACAGCTTCAGAGAGTACCACTGGAGCATATACAGCACCATATGCAAAATAGATAACTGGTGGTAAGTTGCCTATAACAGGGAACCCAGCTCAGCGCACTGCGGCCATCTAGAGGGGTGGGATGGGGTGGGGATGGGAGAAAGGTTCCCTAGGGAGGGGACATATATTACTTAAGGCGGATTCACATAGACGTACGGCAGAAACCAGCACAACTTTGTAAAGCAATTATCCTCCAACTAAAGATGACTAAAAGTTAAAGCATTAAAAGACCAGAAAAATGAACAAATAAAACACATCCATCAACTCACAAAGAAAGTTGTCCTGGTTATACTGAGGAAATAAATGCCATTTGTACAAATACTTTGTGTTTGGCCAAACAAATAAAAACCAAAACTCAGTCATCTTACGTTAGGTCACGAAGTTACATTTTATTACCTTAGCCACGTACTTATTCATTTGGCCCTTAATTCATTTTATAAATATATGCCTCTCTTAAGGGTTTTACGTTAAATTGTACCTTGGTGATTTTTAAAAACATTTTGACAGTGCATATGTAAAAGATATGCTGAAGTTTTTTGTGCTATTTGTGTTGATCCTTGTGATTTAGAGGGCCCAGTGGAAATTTCAGCCCTTTCAATAATACTCATCTTATTGAAGATGCTGCTGCTGCTAAGTCGCTTCAGTCGTGTCCGACCCTCTGTGACCCCATAGACGGCAGCCCACCAGGATCCCCCGTCCCTGGGATTCTCCAGCCAAGAACACTGGAGTGGGTTGCCATTTCCTTCTCCAATGCATGAAAGTGAAAAGCTCAGTCGTGTTTGACTCTTCGCGACCCCATGGACTGTAGCCACCAGGCTCCTCTGTCCATGAGATTTTCCAGGCAAGAGTACTGGAGTGGGTTGCCGTTTCCTTCTCCATATTGAAGATGAGGTCTCCTTTAAAAAAATTATTGTAATTTAAAATATATGCATTTATTATTTTATTTTATTTTCCATGCCATGTGGCATGTGTGATCTCAGTTCCCTGAGCAGAGATCAAACCTGCATCCTCTGCAGTGGAAGCATGGAGCCTTACAACCACTGGACTGCCAGGGGATTCCTCAGGTCTCCTCTTTAGAGTTTATGGAGAAATGGTTATGACAAAAAACTTTCAGACTTCTGTATTTTAATAAAATCTTGTGTCTCCTAGGGCAATAAGATCCAACCCCCAGAGACGTTCCCCTTCTAGATGCCATGTCTGGGGCCTTGGAGACATTTGGAAGGGACAAAGTAAGTACAACAAAGCTTGGCGGAACTGAGGCTGAGAGAGGAAAGTGAAGGCCACAGAGCCCTTTCCAGGTCTTCTGAACATGAGACAAGCTCCAGCTGAACTTGGACATGCTCTGAGCAATCTGAGGAGACAGCAAAGTCTCCAAGTTTGGTGGGTTGGATTATGTTTGACCCCACTGACTTCTGTCCAGAGTTCAGTTAACACTGACTGGGGAGAGCAGCTCAGAGATATCCACTGCCTACAGGCTGGAAAGATGTTCCTGAGCAGTACCCATTGTCCCTATGCCCCAAACATCCTTCTCACTGTCCATCACTTAAAGGAATTTGGACACATCCACCATGGCACTTTGCTCCTGAAATGGCCACTGCAATAAAATAAAATAAAGGAACACTTCCACACGTGAGTAGTGAGCATGGGTAATGAGACATTCTGGAGTGTTCACTTACCTTCACGGCCACCAAGATCTTGTCCTGCTCAGGACAGAGGTTATAGCATTCTGCGAGGAAAACTTTTCCAAAGGCTCCTTCACCTAGCTCCCTTTTCAAGACAATGTTGTGTCGCTTGATGTGCTGAACAACTGTAAGACAAACACAGAACGGAAATTGGAATCGAGGCAGCCAGAGCTGAAGGCAAAGGTCAGGAGTCGGCAGGCTGCATCCTGAGCTCACAGACCTAGAGTCTCTCCTCTGCACATAGAAAACTGGAGGGTAAACTCAGCATCCATCCTCAAGGTACACCCAAAGGGCTTCCAGGCTGTCAGTAGTTTAGACTTGCTCTCCAGAATGGAATCACTGTTTTTGATAGAACCAAAGGAATCACTTAGTTGTTGGCTGCAAAACATCATTCATGAGCTTTATGGACTAAGAAAGGGGAGAATTGAGAAGGGGATGGATATGAATGGCAGGTCTCTCACAAGCCAGATGCTTTGCATATATTCGTCAGTTATGTCTAGTGGGAAAGGCAGAGAGCTAGCTAGGAAGCCCTAAGCCTTTGTTAAGCCCCTTCAGACTATTGAGGGAGACACGCTCAGAGGGCACGAAAGGAAAATGCAAGATCTGTGCATTGCTGATGAAGGCTGTGTCCTCACCTCACTTTTTGCTTCCTCACACGGTGGGCTCCATGGTTGAGTTTTGGTGACTCCTGCTTAGACCAGAAATGTCTAGCCCATTGTGCTAAAGGCTGGCTTCCTTAGCTCCTTTCTAAAAGTGGGTCCTAGCCTTGGCTGTCCAAAACTAAGAAGAGACATGTACAGAAGCATCAGGGGAAGGGGGACTGTTTACTCCTCTCATCCAGAGCTGAGCTGGCCCATGCCACTCATCCATCACCTTCCTGGAGGAGGCAGGAGGCGGTCCAAAGGTGGTTCTTGGGGAGCCCAGTAGGGCACAGTGAGAGGCAAGTGAATGATTCTCAGGCCAGAGCTGGTGGAGAAGCCCGAAAAGAGACTCTGCAGAGGATAGAGGACTCCACAGTGGGAGCTTGGGCCTCGTCAACCAGCACATCAAGTATTGGATCCCTGGAGCCCAGGGCTTCCACTGGGTCACTACCACAAGGCTTTTCTGAACTTCTCATCCCTGAGTGGCAGACTGCAAAAAGAGACTGTGAGTCCCTCTAGAGCTTGGAGTGTGCAGTCAACAACATTCTCTCATTGGACTCTTAGAAGCATTCTTTCCTACATTTTACATGGGAAACTGAGTCTGCAGGAATTTCAATGATTGATAGTGTGGGAATGGAGGAGTTGGGATGTGAACTCAGGTTTGTCTGAACCCAGAGTCTGTAATTTTTCTTCTACACCAGAAAGCTCTTTTTCAATTGTAAGTTATGCTAAGTGTGATGAGAGAAAGGGAAGTATGTAAGAGAGTAAAAAGTAAAAATAACCTCCCAGCTTCCTTTCCGTTTAGTTCAACAGCCAGTTCAAATTATCAAAAGTTCCAAAGAAAATACAAAGCTTATCTCTACAGTTTTATTAATGATAATAACATGACTACCCATGAAGTCACCATTCCATAAGAAATAGAACATCACTAGTACTTTTGAAGCACCATTGTATTCTTTCTGGATTGTACCCATTTCCTACTCACCTCCCAAGGATAATCACTACCCTGAATTTTGTGTTAATCATTTCCCTTGTTGGTTTGCTACCACTGACATCACCCCAATGAGAGACTGTTGTCTGTTTTGAAGCTAATAAATGGAATCATATTACATGCATCCTTCCCTGTCTGTCAACATCTGTCTCTCAACAGTGTTCTTGAGACTGAATAACACTGTGTGTAGTAGTAGTAATTCTTTTGCTTTCACTTTGTAATATTCTGTGGAAGGACTGTACCACCATTTATTTATCCCTGCTAGGTTGATGGATATGATATATACAGTTTCTTCTTAGACACAACTTGATATAAAATGCAAGTGGTGATTAAGGTTTTGCTTTAATAGGATTTCCCCCCTGATAATTCATGCGGTTTGGAGCTATGGCTGCTTCCATGGGCCTCTGGGAACTCAGGGTGATAAAAATCAAAAGGTCTTTTATGAACAACATTATTAATGAATCTAAGAATGTATATTAATTTCTCATGCTCCAGCAACAACGCCTGAATTTAAGAGGGGAAAGATGTGTTCATTAGGAAGAGTGCCCATATAAAGAGATGAATGTAATTCTTGCAGAGAATTAGCTGCCCTATTTAAATCTAATATTTAACTCCAAGGTTGTCATATGTTCATTGAGAATTAAATTGCCACTTGATTTACTTTACACTCTAACCAGATCAAGGCTAGTATTTAACTTTCTTTTTTTGCATTTGATTTACACTTTTCTTGCCTCCCTCCTCCCCTCTCTCCTTTCTTTCTCCTTCTTTCCCTCCTTTTCCTTTCCTTCTTCTCTCTCCATCCCTACCCCCCCTCTTTCTTTCATTCCAAGCAGTAAAAAAAGTTGATGGGAAATAACTTTCTAAAGCTATGATGAGGCCACAATTTCATCATCTTCCAAGCTAAAATTGATGAGACCAGTTTTACCACACTGACCTTGAAGGCAGTAGACATATCTTTTAAGAAATGGGCTATTTTGCATTAATTTGCTTTGCTATGTTTGGGATATAGTAGATTACATGAATGGTGGCCTTTTGCCAATGGATTCCCTCTAAATAGAAGGAATTCCTCTGTTCTAAGACTGGAAGCCATTGACGGGCACAGGTAATAAGTTCTTGTTTGTATTTGCACTTCTGCCAGGGTCTCATAGTGCTCTGCACACAGCTGGTGCTATCCAAATATTTGTTGGAAAATGTGCCAAGTAATAATAGAAGCAACAGAAAAATACTGTTCAGTTTTATTATTTCAGTTAACTGACAATAATCCTACTGAGTGTGCAGGCATTAAAGCAGCCCAATTCTCCAAGATGTCAGGAGTAGGAAGAACAACTAGTCTGAAGCTATCACATACTTGAGCTAAGAATTTCTTCCCATTCTCCTCCAGGAGAGCATTGAAACATATCCCAAACTGCCTCATTGCCTGTTTCCCTCAATCACCAAAGGAAATCCTTGGTACTCTCTTAGACCATCCCTCTTTATCCAGCCTCAAACTGCTAAATTGCTCATAAGTGCCTCAAGCAGAGCCAATGCTAACCCCTTCACCTCCCTCATCAGTCCTTCCATCAGTTCTTCTGGGCAAAATGCCAATCATCCAGTAGGCCCCTGTATCCTAAATCTCTCCTTAAATTTCTCTTGACCTCCTCAGCTCCAATAAAACTGTGGCTTTGCTGAGGATGGGCTTCTCTGATGGCTCAGCAGTAAAGAATATGCCTGCCAATGCAGGAGATGCAGGTCAGGAAGATTTGATCCCTGGGTCAGGAAGATCCCCTAGAGAAGGAAATGACTGCCCACTCAGGTATTCTTGCCTGGGAAGTCCCATGGATAGAGGAGACCAGTAGGCTACAGTTCCACGGGGTCCCAAAAGAGTTGGATACAAAACGACTTAGCAACTAAAACACCACCACTGCGAGGTGCCCGAGGACACCCATGGCGTCCCCCTCCAGCCCTCTCGAATGAAAGCCATCCACACCCTTCACTCCCAGGTATGTCAAGGCCTTTGTGCATGATGTCTGACCATGACCCAACCCCCCCCCCCCCCACCACACCATCTCCTGCTAGAGCCCCAACCAGTTGAAAGCATCTGTTTTAGGGAGCCATCAGTCTGTACCATGTTGGGCCCCTTATTATGACATCTTGGCTATCCCACTCACTCACTGAGCTCCTTGCTCACATTTTCCCTCTCTACCTCCTGATACCAGCATTCTAAGAGCCCAAGTCACAGAGGGGTGGAGTATTAACAGTTTGCCCAAGTTGTACAAACACTCAGCTGCCATTTGTCTTGTGTCTTTCAGCAATGCAGCTAAGAGGAAAGGCATTGGGAAGTTTGGTTTGGCTGTTTGCATGGCATTTAGTGGACTTTTTCTTGGGAGTAAGACTTTCTTTTTTAAAAGTTTATGTTATTATTATTATTATTTGGTGCAGGGCAAGCTGCACTCATGTAGGATCTTAATTCCCTGGCTGGGGATCGAACTTGAAGTGTGGAGTCCTAACCATTGGACCACCAGGGAAGTCGCGAGACTTTCTTAGTGAAAAAAGCAATGCCCTGGTTTCTATTCTAGACAATCTCACTGTGGACAGGCGCTTTGAATAACACTGCCTTAAAGGGCCCTAGGAACATTTGGGCTCATTTTATACAAAGTATCCTTGGCCAAGTGAGTCTAAGTGAAAGTCACTTAGCTGTGCCTGACTCTGCAACCCTATGGACTGTAGCCCACCAGGCTCCTCTGTCCATGGAATCTTTAGGCAAGATTACTGGAGTGGGTAGCTGTTCCCTTCTCCAGGGGGTCTTCCCAAGCCAGGGATTGAACCCAGGTCTCCTGCACTGCAGGCGGATTCTTTACCGTCTGAGCCACCAGGAAAGCCCAAAGATTCCATGATAAATAGGCTATCGGGTAAAAGCATGTTAAAATTTTTTACGTTCTTTATTTCTTAGGTCAGTCAAAGCTCTGCTTTTAACTTTGGAGACTCCAGTAAAACCACCTCAAACCCAATATGAATAACTAACAAAAATAAATAGATGAAAAGCCCAGACTCTACCATAAATCGCTTCTTAGATTTGAAGGAAAAAAACTCAAGACAATGGTTGATTTCTTTACATAAACTTTTTATAAAAAGTACCTTTTTAAAATTCACCTTGCCAAAGATAGGAGTACCCAGAAGAGGTGTGTGTGGTGTAGGGACCACCACACTCCTGTGGTCTGCAGACTGATCTATGTATGTTCATATAGTCAAAACAAAGGGTGTGATTAGATTTATTGTGCAAATAGATCTACTCTGTGGAATCAGGGAGAAATTGATGACCAGAAGTAACAATTGAGATGAGGGTCTAAAAATTGTGGATGTCTTTATTATTAATGGAATTTTCCAGGGTGGAAATTCACTGCACTTGGGCATTTGCTTCCTAAGTACCAGAACTGAATGGATTTCTAGTCTTGTATTAGCATCACATTACAGCCACTGAAAAATGCATTTTGTCACAAAGAAGTTTCAGTAGTTG